CCCCCAGGGCCCAGTGCAATCTGCTTTATGAAACAGGCAGCAAGCACGCAGAGAAAGAGCCAGGCAGATTTTTTTTCTTCTTTTCCAAGTGGGTGGGGACTCTTAAATTCCCCTGGCATTGGCCACAGAGTTGTGGGTTGTTTTTTTTTTTCCAAGCCTCTGCTCCAGTGTCTCAGCCCAGCCCTGGGGGATTTGGGCAGCCTCACCCCCAGCCTGACTCAGCTCAAGCTGCTCCTCATCCTCCCTCATGTGCCTCAAGAGCTGTGGCAAAAACCGTGGTGGTCTGTGCTGTCCATGGAGAAGCCACAGATGGCTCGGTGGGGACTGGTGCCATCGGGTCCCCTCCAGCCCTGTGGTCACTGTTGCGCGACCTAAATGAGCCCCCAAAGTCAGTGTTCTCCAGGGATGCTCAGGTGTTTTGCCTGCCTCCCCCCCCTTGCCTATGCAGTGCCCCCCTCCCCTGCCCTAAGCCACCTGGAGATTTGGGTCTCCCAGGTGGGCCGGACCAGCAGCTCCCATATCCCCAGGGTCCTCCTGCATCTGTGGGATGCCAGCTCCCAGGGAGGAGGAGGAGAGCCTGGAGAAAGTGGCTGACTGGACCCCGGACCCCCAGGTGGGCTTGTGCCCCCATGCCTGAGCCCTTCACACCCAGTACTGGTTGTTTTTCAAGGGGGGGTTGGAAGTCCGGCAGTACTGGAGGAGCTCGGGGTCTGGCGGGGGCCCCGGCCCTGTGCCCTGGGGCGGAGGACCTGTGCCCTTGCCCTCCAGGGAGTTGACAGTCGTTAGGGGGATGCCTTGGTTGGGGTCCATTCTCCGGAAAGTCTCCTGGTCCGGCACAGCCCCATTTTTGGCCTTGGAGGAGGGGGTGCCCTGGACGTGGTGCTTCCCTGTCTTGTTGCGCTTGTGCAGGTAGAAGAGCAGGGGCAGGATGAGAGCCAGCAGGAGGAAGATGAGGCAGATGGGGATGATGATGCTGAACATGTTGGCCTCGATGAAGCTGAGGAAGGTGGCCCCCTCCACGGGGCTGGTGGTGGCACCAGGGCTCGGCCAGGTGGTGGGAGGCATCCCCAGCTCGCTGGCGTTGGGGCTGCTCCATGCTGTGTCCTGGGGTGCTGGGGACGAGGGTGCCAGGGGGGCTGTGAGCAGAGTGACACTGTAGGCTTTCGAGGCATTGTAGGGCTCAATGCTGTAGCCCAGGGATGCCAGCGCTGGTGGCACACCGGCAGCCGCCAGCTCAAAAACGAAGCTGTCGCTCTGCAGGGGTTGGTCAGTCTCCTCAGCATCCAGCACCTCCAGCCCGACCAGTCCTTGCTCCAGCTCTCTCTGGCTGAAGGTCTCAATGGGGGTGATGGGTTGCCCAGGGTCCCTGGAGATCCGCACGAGACGGCTGCCCTGAGGCGCACTACGGATTTTAAAGACTGGGACACTCTTGGTGCGGTTGGCCAGCTCGCTGGCATCGAGGACGCTGGTGTCCAGGAGGGCTGTGGTGCCCCTGGGCCACACGCTGCCTGGCCGAGCCTTCACCAAGGCGCGGACGGTCACGTTCACCACCCTGCTCCTGTTGGCTGCTCGTGACATGGCAAGGAACTGGAAGCTGTCCTCGGGAGAGGTGAGGTCAGTGAAGGTGAACATCACTTCCCCACGGTCCAGCTGCTTCTGTGAGAAGCCCCGTGCTGGCTTTTGGTTGACCTGCACTTGGCCAAACCTTGGGTCCCTGGTGATCCTGTACAGGACATTGCCTGACCCCAGCGGTGCACCTCCCAGGAGGTGGTCATGGGACATGGAGGCCCTGTTCAGGTCCTGGGGCACCTCCAGCAGCACTGGGCTGGCAGTGGTGCTCACGGCAGGCAGCACCTCAATCTCCAGTGAGGTCAAGGTGGGCGGGTGGTGGCCATCGAAGAGGCTCAGGGCTAAGGACTCTTGTGCATGGCTTCCGGTGGCAACAAACACCACGTGGCCTGCGTTGACATCTGCTTGGGTGAAGCGGTGGACAGGCTTCCGTGGGTTGCGTGCATTGGCCAGGTGGCCAGTGAGGGGTCTCTGGAGGATGCTGTACACCATCGCCTCTGGGGAACGTGATGGGTCTGCCACATCCAGGTATTCCTGGGACAGGGTCACCATGGAGCCAGGTGAGACCCGCAGCACTTCTTGCCGTCTCACCACCTGCGGTGGCTTGCTGCTGCTGGCTACTGTTATATTGAAAGTTTCAGAGATGACCACCCCTTCCTGTGGAAGACGGATGGACTGCTGCACCCGGGGCCAGAGCCAGGCCTTAAAACTGAAACGGTCTTCAGAGACACCGTCTCCACCATGGGCATACACCAGGCGTCCGGTGGCCAGGTCTGACTGCAGGAAGAACGGCTGTGACTGCTCCAGGGGCGCACCAGCCACCAAGAGCTCCCCATGAGCCGGCAGCTCCGTCACCAGGAAGACAACATCGTGTGCAGCCCTGCCGGGGACCGGGATCTGGCTTAGGAGGTTGGAGGCATCCAGCACCGAGGTGCTGATCTCAGCACGTTGAGCCCTTGCAAGCTGGAGACCTGAGGGGAAAAAGGGAAAATGAAAAAGCCTGGCATCCCTGGGAAAAGCCAGGATCTTCTGGAAAGGAGAGCAGATGGTGAGATGATGGAGGAAAGAATTGTACAGAATCAGTAAAAGAATGGATGCAATTTTAGATGTTGCCTGATGTAATATCAAATCTCGTGCTTGGGTGGCCATGGGAAATTGCATGGCGGTGTCTTCTTCGGACAAACAAGCTCTTCTGAAGTTTGCACAATTACCCCCTGTCCCTTGCTTCTCCCTTCCTCCTTTACCTGCATTTCTCCATAGCTGAGTCGAGCGCTGGGGACACCTGGCCTCGAAGGAGATCAGCACGAGGAGGATGAAGGAATTGGAGATGGCTGTGGGAGTGACCACATGGAAGCGGACGGCATCTTGGGTGAGCCAGAAGGGCTTCTCTGGCATCTCATGCTGGTAGAAAATCAACCCGTTGTCCACCTAAAAATAAGAAAAAAAAAAAAACTCAATGAACTCTGCTAAATGGCAAAATAATAGTCTTGGAGTCCTCAGGAGGTGGAAGCTCACCTGGGCTTGGGTGAAGTTCCTGATTTCCTCCCCGCGGGAGGTGCTGAGCCTGCCCAGGCGTGGGGCTTGCTCGATGCTGTAGTACAGGACGGTGGAGCCAGCGGGACTGTTGCTCACTGCCTGCAGGTTCTGGGTGGTGATGGGCTGCAGGGCACCTGGAAAACACGTCCAGTATGGACTTTAACCCATTGTCACCTTGCCACCCATCTGCAGCGCTTAGGCAGGGGGTAGTGGAAGAGTCCAAGGGTCCTGTTTGCCTTTAAACTGGGAGGATGGGGAAGGTGCTGGTACCCACCTGGGCAGACAGTGAGGCTCTCCTTTTTGGCCAGGCTGATGAGGGTCTCTCTCTGGGCCCTGATGAGGAAGAAGTGTCCAGGAGACAGGTTCTCACCATCCCACAGGTCGAAGGCGAAGCCCCCATCCAAGAGCCCTGCAGAAAGCACAGAGCTGGGCACTTATGGGGGTGCAGAAGGGGCTGCAGCCTCCCCATTAACCTGGCATGGTGTGGACCAGGGTGCTGCGGGATGGGGCTAGCATCCGCCGTGGTGGCGTCCCCTCCTTTGGGTTGGGGGTGATGCCTGATGCCACTCAGGCCTGCCCTACCTTGATGCATGAAGAGGACGAGGCCGTCGTTTATCTGGGCCTGGGTGAACTGCCGGACCTCAGCACCGGGTGCTGACCGCAGCACCACCTTCCCATTGGCTGGGGGCTGGATGGAGTAGATCACCTCCTCTGCCGGCGAGTCCTCATCGTCGGCGCTTAGGATGTGGGGGCCAATGGCAGCCGTGGTGCCTTCCCGCAGCTGGGGAAAAGGGAGAGGCTGTGATCCACTCTGGGATGCCCCCACCACCTCTCCCCAGCCTGCATCTGCAGGGCAAGAACGAGGGGTCGCCCCTCAGTGCCTTGGTTTCCCCAAGCGCTGGAAATGGAAGAAGGCACGACGCTGGCTATGCCTTTGACACAGCTCTCCCCATTGCTCTGCGGTGGGGTCCACGCACCCCAACCTCGCTCCATGAACTGTTGCCGTGTAGGTGATGACAGCAGCCCCGTCTCTCCCCAGCTGGGTGTCTCTCCTAGCTTGTATTCCCAACAGAGCACTCGTCCCACCGCCCCTAGGCTGCAGTGAGGCCACCGACTGCCCTGGCAAACCCTCTGGGAATGACAAGTATGTCAGGGCCGCCCTGCAGCTTCCCCTGCCCGCTTCACCCTGGGGATGTTGCCACCCCAAATCCTTGGCATTGCCCCTCTCCTGCTGGAGGCAATGATTTTCCCTGCTACTAATCCTGTGTCTGATCTCCATCTTGGCAGACCACGGGGATGGAGACAGGTTCTGCCCATGCTCCTCAGAGTCAACTTTCACCCCAAAAATCCTGAGGCATGAGGATGGAGCATTCCCGCAGCTCGAGGGGCAGGATGCGCTGCATCCCACAGCATCGCGAGCCTGGCCCACATCCTGCAAATCCCCGGGACAGCAGCTGGGCGCCGGAGGAGCTGCTGTGTGCTGGGTCAGATGAGCTCTTTTCTGCTGTTTTCAGCTGGCCTAGCCCCAGAACATTTCTTGAGTGGGTGTGGGTGCTGAGAGTGAAATGAAATCCCTCGGCCGTCCCTGGGGGATGGCAGGAGGCAGGCTTGAAAACACAGCTTTGGAGAGACAGGATGGGGGAAGTGCTGGGGAAGCAGGAGCTGAAGCCCTCACGGCTGGAGCTGCTGCTCTGCCATGTGTGCATGACGAGCCTGCCACGTTGGTGGTGACCTGCTTTGCCATGCTCCCTGGCACCTCTGAATTATTAAAGCCTTCCACCTGGTCCCTGCTCTCGCTTACTTGGTGCATTGTGTTTGCTCAGCCCCTGTGTCGCTTCGGCTCTCCAGGAGAGCATGCAGGGAGGCAGGGAAACAACGCTGGGAGTTTGTCTGTGTGCTCTGGCACAGCGATGGAAGCCTTTCTCTTGGTGGCTCTTCCTCCTGATGCAACCCAATAATGCTGCTTGGGGCCAATCTGCCTGGTCCTTTCCAGGTGGCTTCACTTTGGGGTTTGAACCCTGACTGTGGTGTCCCTAGCCCTGCGTAGGCTCCGCACCCTGGAGCTGGCAGGCACAGCAGCAGAGGAAGGCTTTGTGCAATCTCTTTCCTGGACCCAGCCTGACCTTTAAACGCTGAAGTCATTTCTCGCCAGAGCACAAACACGGCAGGGCCAGGCCCCTCCTGAGCCCTGAGTTGCTTTCACATTGCTCCTGCTCTGAACTGGGAGCTGTTCCCAGCTCCAGAGCCACTCCTGCAGGGAGCAGGGTGGCTGTGATCAACCCTCCCAGGGCCAGCAGGGATCCCAGTGGGAAGGCAGATGGACCTCTGCCTCCAAGTTTATTTTGGGAGCTTTTTTCTTTCTTTTCACTCTTTTTTTTTTTAGCATGGTGGCTGGGAGGGAAGAATGTGCTTCCCTAAGGGCATTGTAATCACTGGGCTAATGGACTGGCTAAAAATAAGGCAGCAATGGAGCCTCGTCCTCCATCTGCCCACAACTTTTCGGGATGCGATGGTCCTTAGAGAGGGCTTTTGTGTTTCTGGGGAAGGGCCAAGGGGCTGCCATGGGCCCAGCATACAGGGGGTTAACCTTTTTGGGAGTGCAGGATTTGGCACAGCTGGGGCACATCATGGATACACCACTTAATGAACTATAGAAGGGATTTGCTAGGAGAGGGCTGAGCTTCCTGGGCTGGGGGGGTAACTAGGAGCAGCATAGGCAAGGCTGGCTGTGGATGAGGGCACCCCCAAACTGTGCTGGGAGCCCTGGCCCCTATCTCCCTGCCTCTGAGGGTGCCTGCACCCCTCTTTTTGGGATATCCTCCAGGGCCTAGGCCCAAGTCTCCTTCCCAAAGCCCCTGCGATGATCCTGATGGAGGGAGGTGCTGTCCTTGGGAATGATCCATGGGGAATGATCCTGCCGGGCTGGCACCCCTGCATATTTTCTACTAATTGTTTTTTTCTGTAACTTTGTATTAGTGGCCCTGACCAGGGCAGGGAGGTGCCTGAAGCAGAAAGTGGGACTTCCTTGCTTTTGCCTCTCACCAAGATGGGCGTAAGGAGATAATTACGAGATAAAGACTTAGGTATTTCCAATCCGCGCTGATGAAACTTGGCTAAACTGCTCTCTGCGCCCGCAGGGATTAATGCGGGACCCGCGGAAGGGCGAGCAGGCTGAGGGCCTCGAGAAGGGAGGGTGCGGAGCCGCCGCCTGCCGCCGTGGCACCGCGGAGCGCCGGGCTGCTGCTGCGGGGCGATGCTCCCATCTTGCGGCCGCCGTCCGCACCCGCA